TCACTGTAGACTTGGCAGTGACCTCAACCCTCCCTGTGTACGTCAGGAGGTGACCTTTGGTCGGGACGATGTCCTTATCATCGGCTCTGGGTGTTCCTGTGGCAATACTGTGGGATTTTCACACATCAGGCCAGAATGCCTGGAATTTTAGGTGTCGTTTTAGGGAAAACATTTTGGATGCGGCGGCAGAGTTCTGTGTTGGAGGCGCCCTGGCTGTGAGTGTGTGTGTGTGTGTGTGTGTGTCCTACTGTAGGTGCTTACATCTGGACCACATCTTGACACATTAATCATATAAATGGCAGTTATATGCACATGAACAGAGGACTTACACGATCAGTTCTTGAGAAACTCCCTTTCTCTTTAAAGTTTCCATTTCGAGGTTTTTTGATTTTGTTCTAGTTTAGTAGAAGTCTAGACGTTTTTAGACTTTTGGTGTGTGGAATGTGGGTAATTATCTTATTTAGTCTCTGGCTGAGTGGCTATGTGGAATTAAATCATGTCTCCGTTTGTTTTTTTTGGATATATTTAGACCACTCATTACACTTTAAGTTGTATATTACATCATATAACAGCAGTGCACCTGCAGTACTTCCTCTGCAATTTCACAAGAGCCATTTTAAAGGAAACGCCTGGCCATCTTAGTGGTTTGAGTACTTTTGCTGCTGTTCATTGTGTGTTATGTAAATGTTAGGAAAATTTTCCATCTGCTTAAATCTTCATCCCTACCTCGTCTTTTTTTTTTTACGACCAAGTTGCTTAAACTGCACTTTTTCCACTATTCAGGTCAAAATGGGAAATCCATCCAGAAGTAATTTAGCTCTGCCATTTAATTTCAAAGTTAATGAAACATTATTTAAATCCATGAAACATCAAATCAATCCTTGTAAGAGGAAACAATTTGAGCTGAGGTGTGTTGAAGGAGAGTCATGAAAAAGGAAGGAAGAGAAGCAGACAGTGCACTTTGAGAGTTTATTTTGCTTTGAATGGATTAGGGCAGCTCAGTCTGTGACCTCTACAGGGTGTGGTGGTGATCCAGTGATGTCCGACATTACATTACCTCTCCAGAATCCTTACTGGAATAATGAGTCAGTATAACTCAGTACATCAACATCGTGAATAGCTGCATGCTGTTCGCTCTTTCTGACTGTTCCAACAGTCACGGCTAATCTGCCCTCCTCACTGAAAGGATACCTGCAGATCTGGCACAGCCAACCTGCCAATGACTGGAAAACTTTCAGTGCCAAAACCTCAGACACCAATTACCAAGTGCACTTGGAGCTGCTCTGCATGTTATGCATGTGTCAAATATTGTCCTGGGAAAAGATTTGAGTATTATTTGTGACTATTACAGCCCACAGTTTATTCTGAGTCACAGCTCAAATCAGTCACAGCTACTTGGCACCACCCAAACCCACGAACTGGCAAACGTGAATATTGTCTGGGTTTGCTATAATGTTGGGGGTATGAAAATGTATTTTCAGAAAAAGGACAAACCTAAAAATGTGTATCATATTAGCAGACTGCTTTTTTGTGGCCAAAACTCCAGAATCAAATCAGAAACATGGATTATTTAGTCTGCTTTGTAAGGAGACCATAAAGTCATATTTTTTTTATCTTGTGCAAACAGCTTATTATCTATATATAACACAAGAAAATAACTTATCAGTGACCTTTGTTTCATCTATCTATTTATTTCCCGTCCTCTATAATAAAAGTATCAAATATCTAAACCTACTTTAAAATACTGGTACATGATAATGTGGGAATTAATGATTCATAGAGATGGTGATAGTTGTTGGATGAATGTAGTAATAGTATAACAATAACAATCACAGTATATGGGCTAACAGTAATATTGCAGGTGTATTAAAGGACCAGTGTGTACGATTTAGTGGCATCTAGTGGTGAAGTTGCAGATTGCAGCTAAGGAACAAACACAGCTCGTTTCTGTATTTGACAAGCTGGGAATGAGAACACGAAAACAGCCCAATCCAGAGCCAGTGTTCTGGGCTATTGAAACATGGTGGTTCAACATGGCGGACTCTATGCAAAAATATAAAGGATCTATTAGGAAGGAAGGATAACTTTAGTGTCATTACAACAGTCTGAATCAACGCTGTGTTTTGTTCTGCTTTTACTCAGAGATATTTTTGGGTTTGTTGGACAACTTTTCTGAACATGTGTTAAACATTTTTGCTTCACAGTGACAGATTTGGTAGAGTGATTTTCCTTTCTTTCAGCACTTAGATCACTGCATTCTTTTCTAACATTTACAGGACAAATAATATTTTCATTACTTTTGCAGTGAAGTTTTTGCATTTGTGAATCAACAAGGAATCCAATGGGCTTTTCCTACATACCATCACATACTAAAACAAAATTCACCCAAACTGAATGAGGGTCATTGTGCAGGATTTTGGGGGTTTCTTAAGAGGTGTCTGTCAGTGAGAGTGATACTTTACTGTCTGGAAGCTCTCCAACATCTGTGTGCTCTGGAAAAATGTGTTGAGCCTTTACTCTGACTCTCTTGGTTTGAACTGGCATACTGGATAATTTCGCTATGACTGATACTGGCTGTAGTTGTTGATGTTATGACTTGGATAAATCCTTTTCATACAGTAGTTCCTCATAGATCAAGCATGAGACAGCTAAACTAACAGTCTAATCTGTCCTACCAAGTGTAATCATTCAAGATCTTACAGACACTTAAGCACCGAGAAAGGATTTTCACACAAAATAATAATCTAAGTAAGATTTCAATGAACTTTATTTGTTAGCTTAAGATCTTCTTCCACACTAGTGTATGTTATAGTGGAGCTACCGCCTAATACAGTGCAATCCTTTCAGCCTCTGTCATTCTTGGAGAGCATGGAAAACACGGGAAGCCGTGGCCAGGAACTCATCATTTTCAGGGAAACTTGAATTTGATGCCTTGCCTTACATTTACACTGGCTGGCCACCTGGAGCCCACCTGCCTGGATATACATACTTTCTCCTCTTCTTTATCTTTCTGTCTGTCTCCTTCTATTTATAACTCATCGTTGGATGTCTGCGCTGCCCACCCAGCTCTGTGAGAAATGTCTGATGTTGAAATTTAGGAATCTAGTGTTACTTTTAACTCGATCCCATAACCATGAATGGCTTACTTTCTGTTTCACTGACTGCAGACTTTTTGCTGAAGTGTTTAGATTGAGGCACGTTGTATGACAGCATTCGTGTAACATGCTGTATATGCTGTAATATAAATATTTCTATAATGTAATGTTTTTTTTAAAATGTTTTTAGCCACACTAGCTGGTCTAGGGATGCCAGTGTCAGTGGCTCAGGAAGTCCACAACCAGACTGACATATATCAGCTATCTGATGCATTGCCATAAAATGTGGTAAAGACATTCATGGTCCCCAGATGATAAAGCCTATTGACTATGATGATCCTCAGACTTTTTATGTAGCACCACCAGCAGGTCAAAATGTTTACTTCTCACCATATACTTGCTGGATTAGTACAATATTTCCTTTAGTGCCACCATGAGGTTGACATTTTTGGGTTTTAGTTAAATGTTATGGGAAGTGTTTGGTGAATTAAATTACATTAAATTAGTTGCAGATGTCAATGGGGGAAGATAGGATAAACCCCACTGACTTAATCAGTTCCGGAGAAATCCAATGCTGTGACAAATATGATAATCCACGAAAATGCTACATTTTGGGTGGTTAGTAAACAGCTGCTTTGTGGTTTTGAGTGAAATGTCTCAACAACTGTTGAATGGATCACCATGAAATTTGGTACACACATTCATGTCTTCCTCAGGATGAATTGTAATAAGTTACCTCTGACTTTTCTATTAACAGCATAATCAGGTCAGAATTATTCCATTACTTTAGTTCATGACTGAATATCTGAGCAACTAATTACCTCATCATCCTCAGCTGCAGCCTACTTTGTGTTTAGTGTTAATGAGCGAATGTTAGCATGCTAACACAGTGAAATAAGATGGTGTCAAGGGTAAATTTACATCTGCTAAACATCAGCATGTTAACATGTCACTGTGACCATGTTAACACGGCATATACTTAGCACAAAGCACTGTTGTGCTTAAAGGACCTGTGTGTAAGATTTAGTGCCATTTAGTGGTGTAGTTGCAGATCTCAATTTACTCGCTACTCACTCCCTTTCCAAGCGCTAAGGTGGCCATAAAACGCACAAAAAACTCAAACATCCTTTTCTGTGTATTAACAAAGATGGCTGTTTACAACTTACACTGTGTATCCTAAACGGAATCAGTCTCATTGTTAGCACTGCTGCCTCTGCAGTAACTATTTAGTAATAAGGCAGCTCAGCTCTGTCTAATTCAGGATGTGTCCTTGTGGACTAAGGACTCCTTCAGGGGAAAATGGCTTCTCTCACAATAGATAAGATCATGATGATTCAAGTTCATTCCAACGTCAGACGTGCTGCATTACTCACTCCATGGAAAACAAAAAGGAAGAGAAGGATTTAATCTCTTTTAAGTCTGGCTGAAGTTACACATTACGGTTTCAGAACTATTTTAGGTTTCGGGAGGAAAACTTTGTGGGAATATCTGCTCTATATCCGTCCTTTCAAAAGATCCACTACTATATGTAACTGACCATGCAGTGAACCAGCAGCCTGTGAAAACATCAGCGAGATAAAAACTCGTCAACTTAAATCGGAATCGTCACCACAAAAGCCCTGAAGGTTGTTTGACTTGTAGACAACTGGGCTAATGTATTTTTCTCCCCTCAGCTCGTGTTAAGCTGTGTAAACTTAGGACGCCACAAGACTGGAGAGAGAGGGAGGAGAGGAAAAAGAGGGGAAAGACTTGGGGGTGGAGGTGTGTGTGTGTGTGTGTGTGTGTCTGGAAGTGGAAATGGGCAGCAGGGAGGAGGAATGTGAAACATTTCTGATGCGGGTCCAGTGGCTGTTTACACGGTAGTCAGCCTGTGACATCAGAGTCCAGACTTTATAAATGTCAGCAGGCGCAAGAATAAGCAGTTAGCAAACAGCTGCACTGGTCGCACCACACCGTCACACAGGTTAGTGAGAGAGACTGAGCTCCATCAGCAACACAAGCCCTCATGGACCGCCTGCTGTGTGACTGTGTGATAGCTTTGGCTGTACTGCTGTGTGTGGCCACACAGGTGAGGCCTGTTCCTGCTTACTTACAGTAGTTTGTTGTGAATGAGATGATTATGTGTTATGTGTGTATGTGTGAGAGAGTGAAGTGGATTTCCTGTGATTTTATTTGGCTCACTTTATTGTAATAAGATTGATAAAGAGAGATTTTCTTTGGAGGAAATAACAGAGGCTTAGTGTCATCATGTAGTCATAAATTATAGTTGTTTTGATTATTTTATTTGTGGAGGAATGTCTTCTTGTCTTCCCTGATTTAAAATGGAAAAGAATCTGTGTTTGTAGCCATCTTAACTGGACAGAGATAAGGTCACAGACAGTTTTGTGTGCAGGATATGCTAATATAGGACATGCAGGGCTGTAACTAACTGCAACTTTCTAATATCTGTTGATTATTTTCATGTTTAATTGATTAGATCATATGATAAAGATACTTGTTTTGTCCTTCTAAGAGTCCAAAACCCAAAGATATTCAGTTCATGGCCACATAAGACAAAGAAAAGCAGCAAATCATCACTTCTGACAAGCTGGAACTTAAGATTTGTTTTGGCATTTTTGTTAAAAAATAAACAGAGAGTAGGAAATGCTTAACAAAATGTATGCCAAATAATTTTCTGTAATTGACTAATAATTTCAGCCCTAAATATAAGCAAAGTAACTTCATGTTGACATAAGTGGTGGACTTTAGTGTCAGAAAGAAATGAAAGAATTCTTTGCTCTGGTTGTCCAGATCTCGCCTGTGTTTTGGCTCCACCAGATACATGTAATTGAAAACAGTGGTTTGGCCTGACGGCGTTGGATACCTCAGTTTCTGAGCATACCAATAATATTTTCTTTACTGCTTAGGTGAATACAGTCAAGAGGATAATAATTTTGATGATGATTATGATAATTATGGTGGTGGTGATGGTAAAGACTGTGTATAATCTGTTCCCATGTGTTTTATCCTTGCAGATGTTGTGCCAGCTGTGTGACAGGCCCTGCCTTTGTCCCAGACCGGCCCCCCAGTGCCCCTCAGGAGTACCACTGGTGCTGGATGGCTGCCGGTGCTGCCAGGTGTGTGCCCGACAGCAAGGCGAGCCCTGCACAGAGATGTTTCCCTGCGACAGCCAGAGAGGACTGCAGTGCGACTACAGCGCCAGCTTCCCTGGGGACGCCGGGGAGTGTGTCGGTGAGTGCCTCTTCTAACAAGCAAACAACCAGGCCCATGTGTGTGTGGGTTAGACAGAGTGGAAGACATACAGCCTCAGTCCGTCTGCATGAGAGGGACAAAGAGACAGTTAATGTTTAAAGTCTGCTCAGCAGAACTGCACAGCCTGATGGGGCCGTGGTGCTCTGCCAGAACTCCGTTTCAGCTTCTATTTCCAGGACTGCTGTTGACACATTTCCTCTAATGACTACCCTTTGAACATGATAGATTGCAGAGACAACACTCACGGATTGAAAAACAGACTCCTCAGTTTCTCAGTAGAGAGGCCTGGCGTTCCCAAAAAAACTACATAACCATTGGCAGGGACAGCAGCCCCTGTGTCCTCTCTGCTCTCACTAATTTTCTTCTGCTGTCCCTTTGCATCCACCCACCTCCCTTCCTTATTAAGTTTCCCCACATCAATCCAAGGTGCAGGTGTAGTTGAGAAAGTTAAGACGACGTCTGTGCTGTGTGTTTCTTACAGGTCAGGAGGATCTGGGCTGTAAAGTCAACGGCATCACTTACAATGAGGGCCAGTCATTTCAGCCCTCCTGTGACACTTACTGCCACTGTAGAGGTGGAGGGGTGACCTGTGTACCAGCTTGCCCTCTGACTGGCCGTCTTCCCACGACAGACTGCCCCAACCCACAATACATTCGACTGCCAGGGAAATGCTGCAAGGAATGGGTGTGCGAAAACCTCGAGAACACAGTCATTCAGGATGCCATCACAGGTAAACTCTAGAGGTGAATGGATTGCAAAGGTTTAAGCAAATATCCTCCAATGCAGATGTTAACTTATGTTAATATAATATTCATTGATTAGTGTATAATCACCTGAATTGTTAGAATGAGCCGTTTTCATCTACAGAGGGAGCAGGTCCTCTTACATTGAGTCCCCCAACAGACACACAATGGCTCTAGATAGGACCTTGTGTGTTTTTTGTGAGTTTCGTGGCCACCGTACTAAGCGGTATTCAGTTGTTTGCAATCGGCAACGTCACCACTAGATGTCACTAAATCCTACACACTGGCTACAAAAAGTAGATTTCTTAGAAGCAGCAGTGAAATACACTAAAAGCTTCATGGTTCACTTCAAAAGAAAGACCTTTAAACATGAAGCTCCATCCAGCAGCAGATTAGCTTAGCGCTCGACACAGCCAGGCAAGCTGTAACCCCCTGTTCACAGTCTTAATGCTAAGCTTACCATCTCCTGACTGTAGCATCATATTTAATGAACAAACACAAAAGTGTGGTATAAAACTCTCTGCAAGACAGCAAATTAGTGTATTTTGAACTATTCCTTTAAATTGTATCCTGACATCAGAGCTGGATATTCATATTTTCCAGTGTCAGGTTGCTGGTGCCAGATGCATCTACACGTAGAGTATCATTGGCTTTCTCAGCCACAAATGTTGCTCATTGATGATCAGTTCATATGGCAACATAATCCTTCCTTCTTTTATATGAGGTTTGTCACCGGTGGTCATGTCTGGAAGTTTTTACTGGAGCATTTTTGCATTAAACTGGGGTGTGTCTGGCCAAAGGAAAACTCACAAAGACCAAATATAACTCACATTTCAAAGTCAAAACATTTTTTTTTTTTTCCCCAGTCACCAAGTTTCGTCATTTCATAACAACAGCTGTGTAACAATTACACATATGAAGCTATGTAGAGACTATTACTCAATTAAGTGATTGTGTATGTGTGTTAGTGAGAGTGGGTGTTAGGGAAATGAAGCCACTCTAGAAACATCTGGAATTCCAAACACTGTCTGAGTCAAAGAACATGATGAGAACAGGAACATTTTGTTCTCGAATATAAAACCTGCGATGTCATTCCTGAAGAGCAGCTGATTATTATGACTTACATGTTAATGTTGTGAGGAACAAAATCTTGCTTTGGAGTTTTTTTTAATTCAAGTTCAATCAGCATCTAGTTTAGTTTAGTTTAGTGAAGTGGTTCTCAGCAAGGCCGCTATTGTGAATGATGGAATATGAACTGTTGAATTTGCTGCTTATTCTAGTCATTCTTTTATTTGTTTTTTAGCCATGAGACCTGCCAGGTTGTGGCCAGCTCTGCCGAGGGATCATCCTCTTAACAGACTAGTCCCAGCTGCCTCCACCTGTACAGAGCAGAGCACCCAGTGGAGTGCCTGTTCCCAGAGCTGTGGGGCTGGGGTCTCCACACGGGTTTCTAATCAGAACCCAGCCTGCAAGCTGCAAATGGAAACTCGACTTTGTAAAGTGCGGCCTTGCCATACAGTTCAGCCTCCTCCAAGGAATTCCATGGTGAGTTTTAATCACATCAGGTGGTTCACCTCTCCATATATCCAACCATGTCCCTTTGAAGGCTGTTAATGGTCAGTTCACCCACAATGAGAAAAAAATGTTTTGGTTTTAGGTGCTGAGTTTGGAGGTAATTACATCTGAAGCCTTTACAGTCAGTTCAGTACAATAGAGGGAAACTGAATTTCTCAAATAAATGAAAATATGTATTTATTGTGATTAGGGAGATCTTCATAAGTCTGAATTGCCAAGGAATGTTGCTATATTAATGACAAATATATTTAATTTCTTCTTTGTCATTCAGATTAACTTGTGAGTTTCTGTATTCCTCTATAGCATCCCTGCAGCTCGGATGTAGTGTCATAAATAAAACTGTACTGTAAGAATTGATTTGAGGATTTGCAGGTTAAAAGACATTACATCTCAGTTTAAAGTGGGCTAAATTTGGGTAAACATTTAATGTTACTAAGATGTCTTGGTAACATATACCAAAATATTGTCACTGAAAGGTTGAAACAACAGTTATATGCAACCTAGATGTCTAGAAAACCTCTCAAACAAACGAAGCCTAGCTTTGACATCTAGGCATATTTAGACCTGCAAATCACCAAATCATTGCATCCATAACTGGGATTTTCTCTTCTGACCTCTGTGTGTGTCTGTGCATGCTGTTTTCCCAGTGGGGTCAGCAGGGGCGGTGCAAGGCCAGCTACACATCACCAGGCCCCATTCGACTCGTTCACCAGGGCTGCTACAGCACTCGTGCCTACAAGCTCCGGTACTGCGGACAGTGCACTGACTCCCGCTGCTGCACGCCTTATCAAACCACCACTGCGGAGGTGACCTTCCACTGCCCCACCGGCAGACTGATACAGCGAGCTGTGATGATGATCCACTCGTGTGCTTGTCATAACAACTGCCCCTACTCACCTTACAGTAACCCTGCTCTGTGGGGATTCAGGCCCTGATTGGCCCATATGAGCACTGATTCATGCAGAACAATAAGACTTAACTGACTGATTTGGGGGCCGGAAGTGAGGGAGACCTTATGGATCCACATAGGAATACTCCAATCAATGGACCTTGAAAGACAAAAAGATAATTGTAGATACAAACTGTGATGGAGTTGGGATGAACGTTTATCTTCACACATGTACAATCTCAATCTGCACTTATTGACAACTCTTTTACGCTCATACAAATTAGGACGTCATACTGGTGGTTTTTACGTCATCCAATAATCAAAATTATCTGGCAAATCTAAAGAAAGCAAGCAAGTAAACTTAATTTACAGTACAGTACAGCACATTTTAACACAGAAGTTACAAAGTGGTTTACAGGAAGAAGAACAGGGAAAGAGGGAGATATAAGAGATATAGAAGACAATAAGTGTATAACCCACAAAGTAAAGGTTATAGAATTAAGAAAACAAGTGGATTTTAAGAAAGATGTGCACTGACTTGCCTTCTTATCCTCTTAGAGGTCAGAGGGCACATAATCCTTTAAGTACAGAGGTCCCTGATCCCTGAGGTCATCATGCCTTGTAGGTCAAAAGTGAAATTTAAAAATCCATATTCAAAGTGTCAGGGAGCCAAGAGAGAAACTAAAGCAGGTGATTAATATTTATTTTTTGCCATTTTCAGTCAAGATAGAGATAATTTGCTGAGGCTGTTGAATAAGACTGTAGTAGTGTTGGCGTGATACGATAAAAACAGGGGTGACTTTTTCTTTTTACTCAAAATTTAGGTTGGGTTAGAAGTGGGCCAATTAAAGGTTGAATGTGTAACATTAGATTTAGGATCTATTGGCAGAAATTAAATATAATATGCATGACTATGTTTTCATTAGTGTATAATCACCTGAATGTAGGAATCGTTGTGTTTTTTGTTACCTTAGAATGAGCCTTTTATATCGACAGACGCCTTCCATGGAGGCCACCACGCTGAACTGCCATGTTTCTACAGAAGCCCCGAAGGGACAAAACAAACACTGGCTCTAGATAAGGGCATTTGCATTTTTCACGCAATTTGCGGCCACCGTAGTTTCTCCTTAGAGCTTGGGAGGGGAGGGTAAAGCAAGTGAGTTGTGACCTGCAACTACACATCTAGATGCCACTAAATCTTACACACTGGACCTTTTAATTGCAATTAAATGAAGATTTAGTAAAACAATCTTGTAATTTTTCTAACCTAAACTATGAATTGACGACAGTTGGCCATGATGTTAATTTGATCAAGACATATTTACACTGCTAACTGGCAATATATGTCTTTAAGAGTCAATTTCAATGACTTAAAAAATATGTGTTTGTTTGATAGAAATGTATGCCACAGAATGACCCCAACCTTTTGTGTTGACAGTTATTGTTTTCCAACATAAGCAATGCAACTTTTAACTTGTACAGTGTTGTGTGTTTGTAGTTAGATGACTTTGCACTTATTACTTTCTATTTTCTGATTTGTTGTAAATAATTCTGGACAGATGTGTCTTATGTATAGTGAAAAATGTTTCAGTATTTTACATATGTCTTACAATTTTACTCTACATGATTTTTGTCTTCTTGATTTATATTTTTTTATATTATTTTTTAAATTTTTATGTATTGTTTTTTTATTACCTTTATTCGATAAATGAAGAGTGACAGGAAAGGGAGAGAAAGAGATAGAGAGAGAAGAGAAGAGAGAGAAGAGAGAGAGAAGAGAGAGAGAGAAGATAAATAAAATGAAATGGGGAGCAATGAAAAGAAATAGAAATACAAAGAAAAACAGGATAGATTATGGGAATAAATATTAAAATAATGTAAATAATATATATTACTTACTGATAATTGAAGTGAATATAAATTTTAAGTCAGAATAAATGACACTGTTAATACAAGGGGGGGGGGGGAGTTATATATGGAAAATAATCTAACGATGTTATTCAGAACGAACATTCTGAAGTGAGAGAAGTACGTTCAACTAGTTAAAATGTAGGTTGTTAGAATATGTTATGATTTGAAAGGTGTTTCAGTGTTTTGTAAATTTATGATTGTTTCTATATATATAATAATAACAAAATGTAAAAATAATAACAATTTAAAAATAAATTTATAAATATAAGAAAAGTATGTGAAAAATTTAATAATTGAAAAGATAGGGCAGCATAGAGAAAAGTAAAGAGATACATGAATTGAAATGTAAAATTTAGGGAAAAGAACAAAATTAATAACTTAGAACATTAAAATTATAGCATTGGCACAATTTAGTCAAATAGTGACAGAAAGAAAAACACAGTGAATTTGAATCAAAAATAATTGCCATTTTTTAACATGAGTATAATCAGAAAATTGAAAAAAATTTTTTAGATTACAAGTATAAGACCATTAATTAAGAGAAAATTTGGTTGTTTGTTTGTAAAAATTTGATAGTGTGTATATGCAAAACAGATTTTTATGTAATGATAAATAAAGTTAATGAATGATGGAAGATAAAAGTATGTGTAAAGAAAAAGATAAAAAAAAAAAAAGAGGAATTATACAATAGATATTACAAAGTAAGTTATAGTAAAAAAGTGATTGTAAAAATTAAAAATAAATAAAAAGATCATAGGAGTATATGAAAATTACTGTTATATAGATAAAGATAATTTTTAGAAATATAAAAAAATCAGAAGAAAGATGATACAATAAAAACTGCAAAACTGTAAAGTTATAAGTATATTAGTGTAAGATAAAATAAATAAAAACAGAAATTACAAAAAGTACAATATATAAAATGAATATAGTCTAGATTCTGGTATTGATTGATGAACAAAATGATGTAATTTACTGGATCTGCAAGGTACAGAATAAAAATTACATGTAGGAAGGTAAAACAGGAATATTATATGAAGAGATAAATGCCTGTAATAGAGATTTATATCATGATAGATGGGAAGCAAATATACAGGAGAGAGGAAATTGATAATGTGAAGAAAAAGAATATGGAATTATTTTTGTAAGATGATTTACAAGACAAGTTTTACATATGTTTACATCTTGGTATACATCATTGTAAATGGTAAGAATGGATGGGGCAATATTGAAAAAATGAAGAAAAGGTAAACAAATGATTTGTTGTATAAAATTGGACTTCAAGATTTTGTATGCAAAATACAATTTCACTGTGTGTATAACGTATGATAGAAAAGGATATTGAGATCATATATGAAAGATAACCAAGATTGTTAGAATTTAATGGAGAATTGGATCATAAATTATAGTGTACAGGTAACCTGGAATTGTTCAGAAGAGATGATGAAGAAATAACTGCAACAAATAAGGGATATTATGACATGGTTGGCATGTTGGTGGGTTAAGAATTAAAAATGTTTAATAAAAACATTGGCATTGAAAAAATGCCATGAAAACAGATGAGATACATAGTTGATGATAATGAAATAAAGACTGGATAAATACAATGGGTTTCATTATAATTCAATAACATAACAAAAATGGGATGAAGGACAAGTGTTTTAAATAAGAAAAAAATTAAAGGGACAGAAAAAGAAAAGTTTAAGTGTTGTTAATTATTTTACATCGTAGTTGTAATAATATAATGTACAAAGAAAATAAAAATACGGAAAGGATTTTTAAAAAAAGAATAAAGAATAAGTCAATGGATTAATGATATAAATAATGTGGTGGATGTTTAACCGAAAAGTAACTAAAAATCATGGTTTAAAAATAGGAAATTAAAATTCATGCCATCAAGGATAAGACAATTATAGGAGAGTAAAAGTGTAAAGCCGCGTGTATTGAATAATCAAATTTACATGGGCATGTAATGATATAAATTGTGTATATTGAATTGAATTGTTAACAATTGTATAGCGCATAATAGACATATATAATTTGTTGTTTAGAGTAAAATTTGATATATTATGTGGTTGAGTCAGGGTGAAAAATGTTTAGAGAAAAAATAAGATTAAAAAAAGTTAATCAATTTGAAATGTATGAAAAAATGTAATTATGGTCAATGTTGTGGTAAGGGGGAATACATGAAGTTTGAGAATGTTAATAATTATTAATATGTAAAAGAGACCAAATATTAATGATTGAAAAAGTGAAAATAAAAAGAAGGTTATAAATAATAAAGTTAGAAGAATAAACAGACACTGCAAATTGAGGAAAAATTCAAAAAAAATTTAAAAATTTTATAAAAAATGATCGAATCAACACTGGGGCTGGGCGTATGGACATGTGATTGTTGTTATCTGCCGGCACAAATACAATTGACAGGGAACTGAAACAGAAAAGTTTAAGGGTTGTGTTCATCTTGATTCTTCTCTTCTCTGTGTTGTTACATCCCCTATAATGTACTCAAGAACCTCACTCTGGTCAAGAGTTTTGTCAAAACAGAATAAATGCCATAAATGGTCTAATGGAGTCGTACATTGCTCGTCAGCTAAGTCGTGGCTTGTGTGCTGAGACAGTGCCTCCAGACCTCTGGGTTTACCTCAATGGAAATGAAGATATCCTGCTCAGCTCAGACAATTACCAGCGAGCTCGTCAGGTGGTCACACGGGTGTCATTGCCCCCTTAAACTTTCCTGGCGATTGTCTGGATATAAAATTGTTGTATTGAAATTGAAATGTGTAACATTGTACTGCATCATCTGCCACTATACATTGTTGTGAGAGCAAGCTGTGATCTATGGTAATATGTGAAAGTAAAAAACTCAGATAAAAAAAAGCATGAACAGTCGAAAAAAGCTGCTGCACTGCATGTGGTAGGAAATGCCGTTGAGAAGTGTGAAAAGTAAAAGTAACCGGAGCCAAACGGCTTACTGATTGCAAACGGGACGGCACTAAAAGAAGGTTATCAAAGTATCTAACAGTTCAGAGGACATAAACAGCAAGCAGCAGAGGGGAAAACCAACTTAAAAGCCCTTTTATAAACCTGGATGGGACAGTTAGTCAAGAATCAGAACACAGTGGCAAATGTGCCTGTTACAAGTGAAATTTCTTCTGCCTCATAGCATGTAGACAGGGAAGATGCAGCAAACTAAGAGTACAGATACAGATGTAGGTTTGAAGTGTCCGTGTTTCCAGTTTTCGGCGGTGAAAATCGGAAAGTCAGTGATCTTTTAGTTGGGCTGGCACAAAAACAGTCTGTGGCACAGCAGGGCTCCTCTCGACCATAGGAAGGACTGAGCACGGCGCTGCAAAAGAAATATATCACATCAAATACTATGAAAAAATGAATAAGATAAGCCAAAGCAAATCAGATCAAGCCACATGAGGAGGAAGAAGCCGAACAGGAATTGTATGTTAGTATATCACCTATAAAAAACCAAAATATGCATAGAAGTGTAATTAAAACCGTCATAAGGAAGTTACCATATATGGTTCCTCGGCCCGATAAGGGTGTAAACAAGGGGCGGTAGGGGCGGAAAAAAACAGTAAAAAGGGAAGCAATTGGAAATACCTCAGCTGTGCAGGAGGGTTGGTGTACAGGGGGGGGGGGGCACAAACTTGCTATGGCTAAAAATAAATGCAATGAGAGTGATGAAAAAGAGCAAAAAAGCAAGATGAGGTAAAATATAAACAAGGAGGCAAAGAAGCTACAAAGCTCTGTAGAGCTCAGGGGGGGTGCAGAGCAGGGGAGCAGTCGGGGGCACAGTACAAGTGACCATTCCCATAGTCAGCTGATGTTTGACCTGGCCCAAAAACATAAAGTTTTCGCATGAAAAAAGCTGAAAACAGTAATCGGGGGCCAATTCAATCCAAGGCAAAGACGCAGATGGACAAAAGCTGCGGAGGAAAATGTATGTTAAAAAAATAGAATAATATAAGATAAAGGTTTAAATATCTTCGGGAAAAAAGTGTTTGGAACACCAAGAGCTCTGGGTGTCATTATAATGGAATGATTATGAGACTTGATTGAGCTTGTACTACAAG